ATCAAGCATTTTTGTTACATTTACTCAAAGGATCTTGGGAGGCCCTGAATACTGCCAAATCAGAATATATAATCATCATAGTCAATATCATTAACATTTCGGTCACAGAGACCAAAATCAAGCTTGTTCTCTCAGTTCCAACAACTAATCATTTCATAAGTGTCACTTTTAAGGGTTTCAGAACGCCAGTCTGCTAGCCAATTGTTGTTGTTGTTTTGTTGTTGTTGTTTTTTAGCTCGACTTTTTTTTGAAAAAAAAAGTAGAGGTATTGCTATAGTCGCGTTGACGTTGCCGTCCGCAAACTTGTACCCGGATCATAACTTTTTATTTCTTGGTGTATTGTCTTCATACTTGGCCACAACAACCCTTGGAGTAGACCACACTAACCTTGACCTTCATCCATAAATGACCTTGACCTACAAGGTTAAAAGTCCAAATTTTGCTTGTTCATGCTGTTATTGGCTGTAACTTTGTTATTTTTGAATGGATTGTCTTCAAACTGGAACATAATAATCTTCAAAGATATCCCTTAAAAATAACCAGACAGACCTTGACCTTCACTCATAAATGACCTTGACTTTGAAGGTCAAATTATTGAAATTTTCATTTTTTTGGCTCTTTGTTATTTTGGAATGGATTGTCTTCAAATTTGAACATTATAATGTTCAAGGATAACCCATAAAAATAACCAGACAAACCTTGACCTTCACTCATTAATGACCTTGACTTTGAAGTTCAAATTATTGAAATTTACATTGTTTTGGCTGTAACTTTGCTATTATTGAAGGGATCAACTTCATATTATAACAGAACATACTTAAGGGTTTATCAAACACTTGGGCTCTTGACACCACCACGTGACTTCACCACATGACTTCGCCACGTGACACCACCACATGACACCACCATGTGACTCTACCACGTGACTCCACCATGTGACACCACCACAGGACACCATGTGTCAACCACGTGACACCACCACGTGTCACCACGTGACTCCACCACATGTATCTATTTATAGAATTTCTATCTATAGAATTGCATGTTTCTATTTAAAATATATTGACAAAACTAATGTGTCAAGACAGACCGATTAATTTTATAAAAAGGAAACGTTTAGATTTTGTTCAAACATTTCTTTGTTTGCTTTTAGAGAAAGTAAAAAGTCGAGCGTTGCCCCCGCCCGGCGGTGGCTCTTGTTAAGCACAGTCGCTAATTAAGAACAAAAACTTTTGTAGCAAACGTCTGGTAAAATCTTAATTTGATGTGTCATCAGAAATATCAAAGGTTTTAGAAATTTCATTGATGAAGGACTTGGTAAAATCATGGATAGTTTTAGTTGTTTCTCTGGTTACTTTGTGTTTTATTTGAATGTGTCCCTTTTCTAAGTGAAAAATGTTGTCATAGTGTTTGTTCACAATTTCCATATAGGTATAGCTGTCATCTTAATCACTAGGATGTAAGTTGTTTTGCTCACAGCAAGTAACATGGTTACTGGTATATTTGAAAAGGGACATTTTGATTGAGGGCAATACACATGTTTTACATAATACAGTTTTCAGTAGATACTCCACTTACACTGCGACTAGCAAAAGTATGGCAACAGATGAAAATGACAATGTAATTTTTTTTCTTAAATTTTAATTTGTTTTAAAAACCATTCAATAACACATCTTTGAAATTTATAAAGATAATAAAAAATGCGCACAAAGTTACAAATGCATTTTACAATTATTGAATGCACAAAAACAGATCATAACAAATGTACAACATATATTTTTATTTGCCTTTGCTGCAGACATTGTTCCATTGAAAGAGAACTTATAAACACTGGAAGATGTACTTATACTTCTATTAAACAGATGAAAGTGATTTTGATATTCAAATAGTAACCATACAATTATACAATAAAAAAACCTACAATGTGTACCAAACCTTGACAAACACACATAAGTAAAATTTAAGTTGTGATTATCTCCCTCTATTTTCGAAAAACCATGGAAATCGCAATTATAAACTGCATAAAATCTTACCTCGAAAATGAATCTTGACAAAATACACATGAATATTCACTATTAAATACCTAGGTGCGGAAGAGTTAAATATATCTTTCTGTTAAAAACACAAACCTTTCCAATTATAATAAAAGTATCCTTATCTTATCCTTATGAAACTTGTATTCAATTAAAGTTGATTTTACTAGGCTAGGATGTCACAAAGCAGTGTGTGTAATAGGTCAAGTTACTCCTATAATTACCCGTTTTATTATATACCTTGTTGAATTTTAATTATTTAACAACTGTAACGTAGCTGCTATTACCTTAGCAACAACATTAGAGATTGCACTGTTATGTTGCAGATTGTCATTCTGCCAGGTCACATACAAATAAATTTTTTAAAATTTTATCAAAACATACTATAACTTATATCATTTATTTCAAGCATTTAACCATATAAATTTACGGAAAGTCAAACAATTTTATTTTTAATGTTCAAAGAAAGTCAAACACTTTTTTTTTTAATATTCAATAAACTTATAAATCTTTCAGATTCAAAAATAAGTGTGATTAACAATTTGTGCAGCTAATTTCAAAACTCAACAGTAGCTGTTTTAATTCTATATTGTTTTTAATAACAATCAATACATTGAAGTACTGGTTCCATTGTAATGTTGCAACCCTTATTTATATGACATACCAATATAGAAATGAGATATAATTATTGACCTGCTTAACTTCTACTATCAACATTTTATGAAATGTACATGCTGTGAGACTCTTACTATATAGAAAAATTCTGTGGTGGCAAATATTCTCATGAAGCACAACTTGACAAATATAAAATAACTTATAAATAAACAACAACTCCATCATTTGCACTCTTATTCACACACTTATCAGTCACATTTCATATTAACTTCATTCAAACGATAACAGTAACCCCTTCTTCACAAATACTTTTTAAGTTAAATTTATAACTATTTTTAACTTTTATCATACACTAAAACTTTCACCACAGCCACAAGTTCCTTTTATATTAGGATTATTAAACACAAATTCTGCTGAAAGTTTATCTTCCACATAATCCATTTCTGTTCCTAATAAAGTCAATTGTGCTTTTGCATCTATCACTACTTTTACACCTGAAAATAAGAATAAAATAAATAAGAATTGCAATGCCAGTAAAGAACAATTAACATCAGAAATCAGTGCACCTAGCACCTTTTCACTTCACTCTATTGTCTTCAAACTTCTCCCTGATAGGAGCTGACGGAAAAGTCACTTCTCCTAGCTAGAGCCCTGTGATGCAAAAGTAATTCTAGTGTAGTAACCCCCCCCATCCCCAAATTTATTAAGTTGAATTTTAATGTAGTTTACACCAATAAATTCAAGTTGGATTTTAAAACTTCCTGAATTGCCTGCCATTCATCCTTCTATTTCATAAATCTATTCCTATGAAATTTCTAAATTTCTATGTATTTATTTTATATAGTTTGTAAGTCAAATTTTAACTATATATGAGCCGCATCACGACAAAATCAACATAATGGGTTTGCGACCAGCATGGATCCAGACCAGCCTGCACATCAGAGCAGTCTGATCAGGATCCATGCTGTTCACTATCAGTTTCTCTAAGTGTTATAGGGTTTGCAGATGCGCAGGCTGGTCTGGATCCATGCTGGTCGCAAACCCATTATGATGGTTTTGTTGTGACAAGGCTCATATGTCATACACACACTGCAAAAGAAATACAGCAACCTTTACTGATTGAGAAAGACCTTTAAAGCCTCTCTTTTTATTCTTTAAAACAGTGCCTCTCTAAGCATTCTTTAAAATATAAAATTGTATGGCAAGCTTGAATTTAAAAAATAAAAATGAATTTAAACAATACCTATAAACAATTACATGTATGTTCATAACTTTATTTGGACAAAAGAACATCCTGTATGGTACATAAATTAAAATTAATTACATAAATTAAAATTAATTAAATAAATTAAAATCAATTGTTGCAATATAAAAAAGGTACCATGTCAGATTCTAGAATATCCAGGCAGTGATAGGCACTTTTAATAATTTCTGTTGACTTTTAAAGGTTTAGAATTTAAAATAAAGAAATCCTGATGGACAAGTTAAGCTGTTGGACCTACCATCTTGCTCCACTATTTCATCAAACTTTCCTTTATCATTGCAGTAATCTAAAGTGTATGTCAAACCATTACATCCTCGAGTCTTCACACCAAATCTTTAAACCAACCTGTTAATTCAGGAAAACATTGACTGAGCCACATCACAACAAAACCAACATAATGGATTTGCAACCAGCACGGATCCAGACCAGCCTGCAATCCATGCAGTCTGATCAGGATCCATGCTGTTTTGCTGTCAGTTTCTCTACTTGTTGAGGGTTTTTTTGTAAGCTAACAGCATGGATCCTGATCAGACTGCACGTATTGCGCTGGCTGGTCTGGATCCATGCTGGCCGCAAACCCATTATGTTGGTTTTTGTCGTGACGCGGCTCATGTAAATATACAGCAATATAAATTATAACTGCTGTATCTGTTTTTTTTATACAGATTTTGACATTTCTGGTTGTCGAATCTTTGTAGTCAGTCTACCTAGCTGGCTTTCCCTGGATAATGACCAGAGTTAATTATCAACTTCTCCAACACCTAAGCCCACATATTTCTGATACAGCTGTGGTGAAGGCAAATAATCATTAAACTCAATGTCTGTGATCAATTGTCAACTAGAGATACTGTCTTGTGCAAGGATCAAACCAGCAACTCCTGAATAACAAATTTGATGCTCAAACAATTGAGCTAAGTGGGCATACTAAATAAATTACCTCTTTAGTGCACACTTTTTCTATAAAAAGCAAGAGAGTTTTGCAACTTTGCTCCAATTTTATGGAACCTTTTAGATAATTACATGCAAGATTTTATCAATAAAACTGGCCAAAACATTGTGCAAATTTAAGATCTAACACAAGAAGTTTGAAAAAGGAATTTCTACACCTTACACTTATATAACAATATCAACATTTACAAAGTTTTATTACATGCTTTTCGGTGGTTTATAGAAATAAATCAGTGAAATAAAAACTGATAACTTCACTGTTTTAAACAGTGAAATTATCAATTTGATAATTTAACTGTTTTAAATTTTTTGAGCCCATTACGTTGTTTCAGTGAAATACAAGCGTTCACAGTACTGGAAACCAAATTAATGATGTGACGTCGTAAATGATGACACATTGTATTATTATTTGGCGCCCTTTCCATTCAGTTCTAGGTTAAAATGTCTTTTTAAATGTTTCTTTGCATATAATAAAAAGAAAATTTATTTAGTTTAATGTAAGATGGAAATAAACTTTTAACCTCGTGAACAACAAAAGTTCATATTTCACTCGTGGCTGCGCCACTCGTGAAATATACCTTTGGGTGCTCACTCGGTGAAATATATTCCGATCTTACACTGAACTAAATGAATATCCTCTATATATCTAAAGTCAATACAATATTATAAGAATCTTACACCAGCTTTCAGTACATTTCTGAGCACTGTATCTAGCTCACTCCTAAAATGAGGCTCTGCCAAGTTCAACTTAACAGTTAAGCAAGCGTTAGAACTTAGATATTCCTGGCTGTATTGACAGCCTGTGTTTGATTTTTTTTTCTTTCATACATGTATTACATATAAATCATAAGAAACAAGAGCCGGTTGAACCGGGTGATGCTCCCCGAATAGGTTTTGGACACAGGAAGGTATACCTCTTGTTGTGTCAGAGTTATGTCACAGACAAAGTTCAAAGTGTAAAAACAACCCAAATGTTGCGCGCGACACATTGTCTCAATATGGTGATCATTTCTGTAAAATAGTTGTAAAATCCGACTTCAAATAACAAAGTTATGTCCCGGACACAATTTTCCTGCAAGGTCATGCTGTGACCTTAACCTTCAAGGTAGCCCCCCAAATATTGCACGCCAAACATCATCTCAATATAATGATCATTTCTGTGAAATAGTTTTAAAATACAACTTCAAATAATGAAGTTATGAACCGGACACGATTTTGCTGCAAGGTCATGCTGTGACCTTGACCTTCACGGTAGCAACCCAAATGTTAAGCCTGACAACTTGTCTCAATATGGTGATCATTTCTGTAAAATAGTTGTAAAATCCGACTTCAAATAAAGAAGTTATAGACCGGACACAATTTTGCTGCAAGGTCATGCTGTGACCTTGACCGTCAAGGTAGCTACCCAAATGTTGTGCGCGACACGTCGTCTCAATATGGTGATCATTTCTGTGAAATAGTTTTAAAATCCAACTTCAAATAATGAAGTTATGGACCGGAATCGATTTTGCTGCAAGGTCATGCTGTGACCTTGACCTTCAAGGTAGCGACCCAAATGTTGCGGGCGACAAGTCGTCTCAATATGGTGATCATTTCTGTGAAAAAGTTTTAAAATCCAACTTCAAATAACAAAGTTATGGACCGGTCACGATTTTACTGCAAGTTCATGCTGTGACCTTGACCTTCAAGGTAGCGACCCAAATGTTGCGCGCGACACATCGTCTCAATATGGTGATCATTTCTGTGAAATAGTTTTAAAATCCGACTTCAATTATTGAAGTTATGGACCGGACACGATTTTGCTGCAAGGTCATGCTGTGACCTTGACCTTCAAGGTAGCGACCCAAATGTTGCGTTTGACACGTCGTCTGAATATGGTGATTATTTCTGTGAAATAATTTTAAAATCCGACTCCAAATAACAAAGTTATGGGACGGACATGAATTCGGGACATACAGACGGACAACGCGACGACTATATGCTCCCCCGAAATTTTTCAGGGAGCATAATAACAGAAACTAGAATTTCCATTTAGCATATTTTGTTTTCTTACAGTACGTACGAATCACAATGGCAAAAGGACATCCGGAACCTAATCAGAGATATAGGAATACCTTCATTTAACACAGGGAGAGGGGTGTTATATGGATTTTTTTACCTCTGGTGTAAATAGTAGAAACTCCTGTCTGATATGCAAGAAATTATACACTCACCATGTTTGGTTTCTCTAACATCAATTCTTTCACCTTTTTAACAGCAGAATTAGTCTGTAATAAAGTAAATATAAGGATATTGATATTCTACAACTTAACATAACAAACTGCTTATATAAATTTAAACCATCTGTTTTTTGTAGCAACCCAGCAGTAAATCTAACTTCTCAAAGCCCTGCACTTTGATACATTATTATTAATGTTGGTCAAACAACAAATGTAGAGCTTTTTTATAATTATTAATTGATAAACATAAAAAAGAATGAAAGTGAAAACAAGAAGTAAGGTAAAAAAGTCAACAAGTAAAAAATTGCTGGCAAATGCAGCAATGTGATTGTCACGGCGAAAAACAAAAAAGAAAGAGAAAAATCACCCCGAACAAAAACAAAAAACACAACAATTAAGTATAATGATAAGGTATCTCCAAATATCATTGCGCTGAATTGACATGTTAACTTGTTGAGAAAGTTTTTAAGTATTATAATGTAACTTGTTACAAGAGCCATGTACATGTATATGTAGTAACGCAGTTATTTATCATTCTTGTGTACTGCACACCTCTTGAGTGAGATCCATCCAATAAGTTTAATGTTGATATCTCAAAGGCTTTATTAGTTATGACCTGGACAAAAAGTAAGTATGAAAAATAACACAGGGCAATAACTGAAAAATAAGGCACGATTGGTTATCATTCTTATATGCTGCTTTCCTCAATCTGAAGTTTCAAGTTGTAACCTCGATAAGCTCCGGACAAAACGTATAAAACATAACAAAAGGCAATAACTCAAAAATTATAACGGATAGAGTTATCATTCTTGTGCACATCATTCTTTCTTAATAATATCTATTCACCTATAGACCTTTTTACGACGCGGTCCGTTGCTATGAAAAATTGACCGGAATTAGAATTTTCTCGCGCATGCGCAATCTGCGTAGAGCAAGAAATCCTTCGTCCTACATAGAAATATAGTAAAAGTTCATAGACAATTCCGAGTTAGTTCAAAGTAAACGGTAGAAATTATATAAAATAGCTTTCAACAGTTATATAAAAAAGATGTCTTTATAGCTTTGTGGCGAAGAATGCCATAAAAAGGCATGAAAAAGATACATGTTTAAGAATTTACGATCACGGAACTGACACTGAGATCATTTTTTTAAAGAAGATGTTGAAATATATCTATTAGCAAATGAAACGTCAACTTATTTGCTATTGAAATAGTTCAATTAAAAACAAAAGAAATTATATAACATGAAATGGAGATAAATTATCATTCTGAAAAATATCAAAACAGGTGATAATGCATTTTTAGTGTTCAATATACCTGATTTTATGCTTTATCCGATTTGCCTGTGATGCAAACAGAAAATTTAAGTCACATAAATAGATTTTAAATATTTTTTTCTCTAAATCTTTAGATGTTAAGATGGGTTGTTTGGAAAAGATATCACACACATTTTATCCGCTTCTTCGTAAATCATGTTATTTTTAATAATGCATGTGACACAATTGTTTTCTTCTCAAAATCCATAAACATTGATCGGTATATTTAAAAGTTACATAAATTACAATTTTAATAAGCGTAACTGATTATCTATATCATGATATTTAAACGTCCCGGTTCAATGAACAAACGTTCGCGTGCCAATCTGTTTGACACTTGCCACCTGACCAATCCAGTTATTTAAAGGAAGTGTACAATACAAATACAGGGGTGATAAAATTTAATCTTTAACACCCTGCTGTTTCCTTCCGACTTCCCTTCGTGGCGTGCACGTCGCTCGGAAGGCATAGGTCACACCAGATGGGTGACCTAGTTAGGTCACTTAGCTGGTGTTACCTAACCAATGACGAAGGGTGTGGCCCTAAAGAGAGCTGCTGCTCCCGGAAGAGGTGCCTTTCTTCTATTGTCATTTGTTCATCGAGCGAAGAATTTGGTCCTAGAGAAGGTCTACGACGATCGACAGCTTGAAAAGACCTCCGTCGCGGCTCTACGACATCGACGACGTTGCAGGCGAATAAGTCCTCCATTGCAGGCTCTACGTTACCAGCAATCGTAATAGAGGCCGACTAGCCTGGGACATATGGGAAACCGGCGCCCAGTATAAATAAAACTAAAAACACACACACCTGCTGTTTCAATTTAAATTACTGATGGAAAAGTCATCTAATGATACCTTAAACAAAGATACGTGTGCCCGTTTTGACCATTGAATTATTACTCCCACACATTTTCACAGATCTCTTAAAATAAAGTCACGTTTTCTGTACTTACCGCCTTAAGTCATCCCAAAATTAATATTTTTTGGGTGACATAACATGAAACAGCATCTATTCAAGCCTTAAAGTATGATAAACTGTAGACATCGTTATTGCTTTCTGCCCTACGCAGAATGCGCATGCGTGAAATGCAACATTCGTTGCTATGGAAAATCGTATTGTAAAAAGGTCTATAAAGTTTCATGTTGACATCTCAAAGACTTTTTGAGTTATGCTCCACTCAGGTGAAAAAATAAGAATGAAAAATAACAAAGTGCAATAACTAAATCAAAGCAAAGAAGACGCTGTATTTGTTTGGGTCTCAGAATGTCAGAAATGTGAAGGTTGTGAGATTATAAAACAATTTGTTTTTGCATTGAGCCACCAATGCTTTCCAGCGTTTTAATTGTAGTAGATTGGCTATAAGACTAATTGCAACACTGATATTCAATCCAATGTTTATTGACTTAAACAATTTGAAAAAAAAAATAAGTTGCCTTAACTGGGATTTGAACTCCAGACCTATCGCTTCCTAAGAGAGCGCGCAACCTCGACCACGGTGAATTTATATGTTAACGGCCTGAAGAAAACCATATTATTCTAAATTAGGGTTTTTAACGACGCTAACTGTTGTTTAACACTTGTGTAAATAATCATGGCGCTTACTATAAGCATGTTTATCTATAAAGAATAAAACAATATTAGAAATCTTCGACCATTCTGGAATTATTTTGCTTGAAAATTAATGCGCCTGTCATGTAACCATATTTACGCAGTGATCTCCCCTGATTTTTTCGGCCTTAGGCAGTGTTACATATAAAGGGAAGTAACCGCTCCAAAAAAGCGGAATATTTTCGGCATTTGCAATTATCAGCATTAGAGTCTGAGATTTCGCTACCATTATTTGTTTGGTCTGACAACCCAAACAAATAAAACTATGAAGTGTGGAGTTATCACTTTTGCGCACTACAACGTCCTGGGTAAGATCTATCTACCTATGAAGGTTCATGTTGATATCTCAAAGCCTTTTTTAGTTATACTCTGGACAAAAATTAAGTATGAAAAATAACAAAAGGCAATTACTGAAAAAATAATGCACGGTTTGTTATTATTCTAATGTGCTGCACTCCTACTTAATGAGATCTATCCGCCTATGAAGTTTCAAGTTGCTACCTCTAACACTTTTTGAGATATGCTCCGGACAAAAAGTATGAGGGTGAGCTATTAGTATCAAAGGGGGATACTCCGGCATTCGTCGTCATGCGTCAACAATCGTCTTCTTCTCTGAAACCACAGCACAGATTTACTTCAAATTTGGTCCGTAGCATCCTTGTGACAGTTACACTTGCTCATGTCATTTCAATTGGCCCCTTTTAGGGGTCAATAGAGCTAAAAATAGAAAAAACCTTTAAACATCTTCTTCTACAACACTAATTGATGGATGATCACCAAAATTTGTCTGTAGCATTCTTGGTTAGTAGTTTATCAAGTTTGCTCATATTAATTTGATTGGCCTCTTTTAGGGGTGTCTTGTGCTAAAAATAGTAAAATCCTTTAGACATCTTCTTCTACTGAACTAATGGATGGATGATCACCATTCTTTGTCTCTATCATTCTTGGGTAGTCTTTTATCAAGTTTGCTCATATTAATTTGATTGGCCCCTTTTAGGGGCTGCTTAAGCTAAAAATAGAAATTACTTCAAACATCTATATCTAGAGAACTAATTGATGGATGATCACCAAACTGTGTCTGTAGCATTCTTAGGTAGTCTTTTATCAAATTTGCTCATATTAATTTGATAGCCCCCTTTTAGGGGTCAAGTGAGCTTATAATATTATAAACCTTTAGACAGCTTTTTCTACAGAACTTATCGATGGATGATCACCAAACTTAGTTATTAGCATTGTCATAGTTATAAGTAATCATTTATAAAAAATGCTCATATTTATTTGATTGGCCCCTTTTAGGGATTGCTAAAGCTTAGATACCCCAGACCATGGCACTGTTTTAAATTATAGTTTAATGAAAGGGAAACAACTCCTGTTAGAATTTCTTTCATTAATGTGAATGACCTGCTGTTATCTGATGAAATTATTTGAGGTCATGACCTCTTATGAAATATACAAGATATATAAGGACTTAGTATCAAGCTTTATTTGGTTTCCTGTCAATTAAAAAAATCTCCCTCTTTTTGAAGTAAATCTCCCTTTTGAAAAAAGTTCACATGCAATAACATGTTATGCATAAAAAAAAGATTGAATGTCTTAATGTCTTTGCAGAGATCTGAAGTCAATGTGCTTTGTATCTGTTTGTGCCCTAGAATTCAGATAGCAATTGCATAATTCTAAGGTTCATTTGTAGGTCAATCTAGAGAATTTTCCTCAAGGCCTTAAAAAATATTTCATTTGTTTCTGGTAGCTTAGTAACTTGGAGAAAGCACATTTCAATAAATATTGGGGCACACTGTTGAACCCGATGTTTCATATGTGCATGGGATATTGTCACTGTCTAAAAGATAGGTGATTGTTTTTCACTGAGACTCATTTAAGTATCTGTTGTATTATATTTATATGAGAATATAATAAATATATATAGAATAGCCTAATCGATTGACCTGTTATTGTCTTAAGCTGCATAACCACTTTCTCTGATCTTAGTTTTTTCTTCTTCTGTTTTCTTTCATAAGGTAATACTCAAATAATTTCTCAATAGAGAAACGCTAAGAAAATAATAAGCTAAATAAATTAATAAATTGAAAATATTTCATAAAATTTAATGTAGATATGGCTGAAATTA